CGCGTGCGCTCGCCAGACAGACAGAGAGACAGAAAGCGAGAAATCACCCCCCAGGGGGGATGGTCAGGCCGCAATCCCTTCTCCTCCATTCTCCTCTCAGGATCTTGGGCACGCATGCACACGCGCCTGGCGTGAGTTTTAAGCCACCGGGTCCGAGACACGAACCGCAGTCGACTACGTGGGAGTCCAGCGACATAGCCATTACGCTAACTGCTGGTTCCCTGCACCATTAACTTTTGAGGGAATTTTTTTTTCCCCTTCGGTTTTTGGCTATTGTTTATCTGCTGTGAATAATTATACACAGATTTTAGAATCTGAAAAAGCATTTTCTGAATCCTTGGAGATAAATAGTAGTAGTACTATGCTTTCCCTCCTGGTGATAAGAAGCTGGATTTGTAAGTATTGGTCCACAGTGTTAGGTCTGAGTATACATAATACATATAATGTTTCTTTACCATATTATCGTTGTGCTATGCCTCAAACATAATTTCCATATTGGTCATGGCAATCCAATTCCATTTGATGATAGTGGCATTAGGAATATATATAATGGTAGAGGATTGTTTCCCTTATAGTGTACCAGAAGTCACAAATGCTTCTGAAACATCCTCATTTTCTTGAATAACTTTAAGGCACTGTTGTCCAAAGCTAAAATCTTTCCTGTATGAGATTCTTTCCCATTTTTTGGAATTAAAACTATTATGCAGACTAATTGTATTTCTACAAAAATGTAAGGTTTACCGAGGTAAATAATTTTCTGGCATATGTTTAACAAATAAAAATATTACTGCTGAAGAGGACATTTTCTCTTGAGTATGGGGATAGAAATTTTGAAAAAGTCAGCGATTTTTTTAAATTTATTTTAAAAAATATAATTGAAGATTAAGGATGACTTTTGCAGATAGGAAAGGCCAGGTATGTAAGTTTATGGTGCTGGGGAACAGCCTCAGCGGGGGTGGGTTGACTCGACGGAGGCGGCGCTGGAAGGAAAGGAAGACTAAGGTCTCGTTGTCTTTTCATGCATGTCCTCAGCCGGACACTCCCAGAGATTGCTCTCTGAGGAGTGACAACTGTTAGGAATCATCGTGCCTTTTTATTGAAAATATGATACATGCAAGTGAATGGGTGAGGGGCTACATGTTCTAATTATCAATTCATAAAGTTTTAACAATAGAGACCATTCAGGGTTTGATTAAGGGCAGGTCTACTAATCGATACAGTTCAACAATTGTTTGATTGATGAAAGCAGGTCCCTGGTAACTTCAAGCAGTGCAGTTTCAGGAAACAATCCCAGTAAGCAGAGTTAATTAGCCGATGTTCAGCAGCAGCCATCTTATGATTACTAAAAGAAAATCTCAAGCATAGATATTAGTTCTTATGGATTTTCATAAAGAATGATACTTATATAATTCTATAGGGATCTAAAACTTAAGGAATCCTAATATATTTACCTGTCCTGAAGGGGTGAAGTTATTATTCACTTGGTGAGGGCGGGGACAGTTTTTTCAACTGGCGGTAAAGTGACTAATAAGTTAATGAAAAACTTTAAAATGGGTTTATGGTGTTGTGGATTCACTTGTGTAGCCCATGGCACCACTGTTATGTATTTTGTTAGAACATTAGTTACCATGGGACAAAAGTGTCCTGGGCCAGTTTCGGCCTAGTCCTATTGTATGTAAAAAAGTTATTTATATTAAATGTGTCTTGAAGGGCCTTCCAAATGTCAAGATGATTTCTGCCTAGATAGAACTTCAGCACACCCTCCATTATGATCGCAGGATGAAGTATTGTAATTAACAGTAGGTGGTCAGGGTAAAGGGGAGCGGTTGGGGGACTTTTGGGAAATCTTACCACACACTCAAGATATATGAGGGAGCTATGTAATTCTTTTATAGTAGTAAGTCGGGGAGTCAGAGGGGGGTCACTTCCCAGCAAGGCTATCGCAGTTTCCGGAGCATATTGACCCAAGCTTTGTTCCTTGGTCGGGGGCGTACAGTAGCGGCCTTGCCAATGTACTGAACTGACCAAAATTATGCTCAAAGGTCGGGGGGCTCAGACAGATCCTGGAGCCCCGCTGGGTCGGACTCCTCCATTATGGAAGTGATCCTGAAAAAGAATAGACATTGATGCAGATAAGAGAGTGAAATACAGAGCACTGAGGGAGGGCTTGATCTTTGGTAGGCAGGGGGAAAGGAGAGAAGATGAGTACAATTCAGATGGTAAGATGGAATTTGCATATGGTGGCTTCAGTCTTCTCAGTGAAGGGTGAATTAAGATCTTAAGTTGAAGTAAGAGTTAAAAGGAAGGGGGACCAGCAGTTAGCGTAATGGCTATGTCACTGGACTCCCACGTAGTCGACTGTGGTTCGAGTCCCAGACCCGGTGGCTTAAACTCACGCCAGGCGCGTGTGCGTGCGTGCCCAAGATCCCGAGAGGAGAATGGAGGAGAAGGGATTGCAGCGTGGCCATCCCCCCCGGGGGGTGATTTCTTGCTTTCTGTCTCTCTGCCTCTCTCTGTCTGTCTGGCGAGCGCACGCACCCTATAGCAAAAACCTCTTAAAAATAAAGAGTTAAAAGGAAGGTATAGGAAAGCTGAGGAAATAGGAAGTAGGAAGTGATCTCTTCAGAAAATGGGAAAAGCAAGGCCATTAGAGATAACAGTACCAGTTTGAGATTTGAGATAATGAAGTGAAAGCTTGGAGTTGTGGTTTTCCAATGAAATGTCCTGTCCCCGGTGGTTAGCTATTGAGTGTAGACAAAGAGAACGCAGTTGGTAGGGTTCTCCTAAAGAAAGATGGAGGGGATTCATTGAAGGAATCTACAAGCAAGGAATAATGTATTTTAAGGGTTACAGCCTTTTTAGCAGGACGGAGAAGGAAAGGGGTGTGTGTGCCTGCGTGCCTGTGTGTATTATGGATACTTAAACTTGGTGATGTCAGTGGACTGAAGTACACTCTTAATGAGGTAGAGGGGTATACGTGTGGCAGTAAGGGCATGTGGGTTCTACTGAGATGGAAGAGGAGTGTGATGTCAGAGTAGTTTGACTAAGCTACAGATTTGGCAGACCTGCACCAATGGCTAATGAATAGCTGAGGTCGATGGAGTACATCATTGGAGATGAGGTGATGAAAAAACTGAATAGCTAAGTTATTGTACACTTCTAGTTTCTTTTCATTGCTAATATTATTGACAGTTGTCAGGTGTGAAGAGTGTTTTACTCCAGTCACCAAAAAGTGTGCAAGATACAGATGATTTGGCGGCAGTAGTGAGGAGTGTGTCGACCACAAACTCACCTCCTTTCTTTGTACATTGACTATGAGAGAAAGCACTGTTGTGGCATGGAGGTGGTGGAGCCTGTCGTAAGGTGACATTCTGTTTGGTGTTGGCCCAGTGGTAAAGGTAATGTGAGCAGATGCAGGTAGCAGAACAGGGGCAGTATAGACGGTGGGGGAGTAAGTCGTTTAGCTAAGGTCTGATACACAGTGGTTTGAAAATAAGGACTCTAGTGGTGACGATTGCCTAGGGTGACCCAGGCTCCTGGTAGTGACTGAGGTGTGCGGGGACTAGGGCAGTAGTCCTGGTAGTTTCCGAGGTGAGTATGGGCAACCACACAGCTAGTGCAGTCATTCCAGATGTTGCTCTTTACATAAAGCTCTTGAGATGTAGCTTCTGGACTGGAAGCAATTCTGAAGGGGCTAATCGGGCATGTAGTGTAGGAAGGTACTTTTGGTGGCACCTTCTGTTTTTTTTTTTTCTGAGAGATTTTTGCTATAGGGAATGTTTTTGCTCATTGGAGAGACAGACAGACAGTGAGAAATCAGCCCCCAGGGGAGATGGCCATACCGCAATCCCTTCTTCTCCATTCTTCTCTCGGGATTTTGGGAACATGTCTGCATACGCCCCGTGTGAGTTTTAAGCTGTTGAGTCTGGGACTCAAACCACAGTAGACTACATGGGAGTTGAGCAACGTCGCCATTACACCATCTGCTGGTACCTAAATGGCTCCTTACAACTAGACGTAGTGGAATGTCCCTATGGACCGTGACTGACTTAAAGTTGCACAGGTGTTACTCTAAGTAGTCTTTTTTTTTTTTCTTTAATAGGAACAGCTTTTAGATTGTAAAGGTGAAGATGGATGGAATAAACTTTTTGACTTGATTCAATCAGAACTTTATGCAAGACCTGATGATGTCCACGTGAACATCCGACTAGTGGAGCTCTATCGCTCAAATAAGAGGTTGAAGGATGCAGTGGCTCACTGCCGCGAGGCAGAGAGGAGCGTAGCTTTGCGCTCTAGTTTAGAATGGAATTCATGTGTTGTGCAGACACTGAAGGTAGGTGAAAACCTTTGGTTTTTACTCTTCGAGTCCATAGTTACTGTACATGTCTTTGTACTTACACAGTGCTCTCCAAGACATACATTTCTTAAGTTATATAGAGCACCTATAAAGTGGAATTTTACCAGGATTATGCAGTTTATGAGTAGAGTGGGGAGATTAAATATGGTCAAGATACTACTGTATATTTTTGATGTTTTTATCTGTAATGCTGATAGAAAAGTCAATATGGTTTTAAATGTGGTAGGGCAGAGATTTTAGGCTTAACATAGCCAATTTCTTAACATTTGATAAAGTTGTGTAATTTACTGTTCTTTCTGCAAAATAGGAATACTTGGAATCTGTACAGTGTGTGGAGTCTGATAAAAGTAACTGGCGAGCAACCAATAAAGACTTGCTCCTGGCCTATGCTAACCTTATGCTTCTCACGCTTTCCACTCGAGATGTGCAGGAAAGTAGAGAGCTGCTGGAAAGGTACGTTAGCTCTGAGGAGAATACTGGAGTACAAATCACAGATTTTCTTTTTATCATAATTCAGTTCATTGCTTTAAACTTCCTTACTGAATTATTATTTCTGCAGTGTACCAGGAGTTATAGTCAATATGATGAACCACTGGGAGTGACTTTTATTTTTACTTCTTTTATAGGGATTTTACAATTGTTTTTGTATGACTTTGATTTCCAGAAAACTCAATAGCTCAGCCTTGATTAGAATTTGCGTTATAGTTGATTATAAAGTTTAGTATGTTTAATAGAGTTGAGCCTTAAAATAAATGTTCTAACTGCTGTTTCATGTTTTATTTTATTTTAAAATATTACTTACTTTTATTTGTTATTATTTATTTTTTTATTTGACCAGAGAAGACAGAAAAGGAAAGTGAGAAAGCAAGCCACCAGGTCCAGGACTCGATCCGCAGTTGGCCATCTGGAATTTTAGTACCTTAACCACTATGCCACATGCCAGCCCCATTCCATGCTTTATTTTTTTTAAATAGGGTAATCTTAAGTGAAATCAGCTTACAATGTTTTTGGCCTTGTATAAGGTAAGCTGGATTCAGATATTAGCATACAGCATCATTGGTACTTTGGAAAAACATTGTTTTAGCTTAGAAATAAAGTAGTTCAGATTTGATGTTTGGTTTTTCTTTTTTCCTAAACTTTGAGAACCAACATCTCCATTTTCTGAGAATAATATCCTTCCTTCTCTATTCTCCTGGAATTTCGGGCACATGTACCCATTGTGAGTTTCAAGCTGCCAGGTCCAGGACTCGAACTGTGGTCAGCCATGTGGGAGGCCAACAACGTAACCATTATGCCATCTGCCAGTCACTATTTAAAAAAAAAAAACAAAAAACTTTTTACTGTCTGGCTTAATAGAGCATGTCTGGATTCTTATTGGGTTCCTCATCTGTTAAAGCTATTAATGTGTCATGAATTCTGCTGTTAACTTAGCTATACATGAGAAAATGAGAATGTAAAACGTAAAGATTTTCATGACCAGTAGATGGCATAATGGTTACATTGCTTTACTCCATATTGTCCACCGTGGTTTGAGTCCCAGATCCAGCAACTTAAAACTCATGTTGGGCTCATTTGCATATGTGCTCAAAATCCTGAGAGAACAAAGAAGGGATTGTGGCGTGGCCGTCCTCCTTGTGGGTGATTTCTCACTTTCTGTCTCTCCAGCGAGTGCATGTACTCTATAGCAAAAACCTCTCTTAAAGAAAAAAAAATTTCTTAGTATTTCAAAAATAATTTTAACCTCTGAATTTCAGAAGAGGTCTTTGAGAACCCTCAGAGATTCAGAGGTCTCACTTGCCGGAAGAAATCTCTGTTGCTCTGATTTCTTTATTATAAGATATGCTTTACATTTAAGTGTTTGCTTTTGCTTTTTTTACAAAACAATTCTGAGGATCATTACAATTTAGAAGCACTAATAGTATATGGATTACAGATAACAGTAAGAAATATGGTTTACAAATAACGTAAGAAATAGTTTGCTTTACTCTGTAGTTATCTACGTAGTTTGAAGACAGTGTGGTATTGAAACCCAAATACCTGTCCTTTATTATCATTTGAAAATGCTATGTCTGATTTGAAATATTCTGACTTTGAATTAAACAATGAAATGATATGATAGAAAAATAGCATTAATTATATAAATAATGAACTTCAGCCAGACTTCCTAAGAGATATCTGTGTGTAGTCAGTAATCTTGTTTGGTTTGTATCTTTTCTATGGAGGACTGGAAGTATCTGTTTTTTGGAATGAGACATCATAGAGGTTAAGCTTAAAGTATAGCAACTATATAGGATAAGAAAAAACTTACTTTCAAACTTTATAGAGAGTAAGGTTTGTTAGGAATTTGAATATGAAAATACGTTATCTGTTATTTTTAATTAAATACTGAAGTTGGTTGTTTATAGTGCATCAGGTGTGGATTACCTGTTTAATATTTTAATATTACAGTTTCGATAGTGCTCTTCAGTCTGTGAAGTCCTCTGTGGGTGGAAACGATGAACTGTCAGCTGCTTTCTTAGAAATGAAAGGCCATTTTTACATGCATGCTGCATCTCTGCTCTTGAAGATGGGTCAGCACAGTGATGTGCAGTGGCGAGCTCTCTCTGAGTTGGCTGCATTGTGCTACCTCATAGCGTTTCAGGTATGCTTTTTGCAGTTTTAGCAGCAGTTGATGTTTCACTGGGACTTTGTTGTGTTTCACGTGGAGGTGTGCCTTGGTATGTAATGAAGTATGTGAACAAACCCATAGAATTAGAGTTAAAAAGAAACCATTTGATAGGTGGAATAACAAGAGGTACGCAATACTGCTGAGGCTGGTGAAATAGCTATGTTGATGACACTGCTGGTGACCGTTTGTATTACAATAACTTATTCAAAGACTAGTTCCAAGAGTTTTGTCTTCTTACTTAGCCGCTTCTGGGACCATTTAATAGGGACATAATCTCAAATATGGGTATAATAACTTCAAAGAGATATGTGTGACTTGGAGAAAAACCTACTATATAAAGTTAGGTTTAGGTGAGAAGAAGAATGTGATTTCCATTTTAACATGTCAGTTGAAAAACAAAAACAAACCAAAAACTGTATACATAGAACGTATATAGATGACATTTATGACAGCATATTATATCTGATATACAACAGTATACTCTGTTCATCTTTGAAAACATAAAGCTTCTCTTTATAATATAGAATATGACAGGAAAGACAGATGCTAAAATGTTAGCCATTGGTGGTGGTGATGAGATGCTGACTGATGTCCCTTTCAAACCCATTTCTCTAGTTTTAATGTCTTTAATCAGCTTGCATTACTGCTGGGCAGTAATATGCAGTCTCAACATAGGATTAGACTAGGCTTGTAAATAATGATTGTTAGCTTTAGAGGAGGATTCTTTCATTTGGGGTGGGGAAAAAAGGATTTGCTACTTTTGGAGATAGTTCCTCCCCATTCATGTTATATAGATTTTTCAGTTTATATCATTTGCCAGTGTGTGTGCATATGCTTTATGAAGAGAGAGGAGGACAGAATGTGGCCAAGTGAGAGAGCCCCCCCCGCCCCCCACACGAGAAGTGGTCACTATGAAGTACTTTTTCATTCATTTCTCCCTCAGAATTTTAGATGCACATGGGCCTATTATGTTTCTCAAGCTGCTGGATCCTGGGCTTGAACCGTGCAGTCAGTCACGTTTGGGATCTATCTGCCTTAACCGTCATGTCAGAGGTTGGCCCTATTTATTATTATTTCCTGTCTCTGACCAGAGAGAGGAAAAGTAAGGACGCATTTCCCCAGTGAGGATGACCTTACCGCAGTCTATTCTCCTTTTGGGATTTTGGGCACACAAGAAAAGATTATGCGCCCTGTGTGTTTTTCAAGCCACTGGGTCCAGTGCTAGAACCACCAAGTTGGCCATGTAGGATCCAGTGCCTTCACCACCACACTACCTGTCAGCCCACTTTTTTATTTAGTGGATATACAATGGAAATTTCTTGGATGGATTTCTATTAGAGTTTAGTGATCAAACAATGAAAAGCATAAAAAGGTAGCTTATAGGCTTGCTACTTCTTAAGTCAGGCTGACTTTTTTTGTGATAGGGTTTCCAGATTCTTGATCAGGGATATGCCACAGTTCCAGTCTGTAGGAGGGCACTTGAAAGTATGAAAAAATGGAATTAAAGTACAAGTTTATTTTGGTGCAAAATATTTTGGAATTTATGTATAATTTTTTTTAATACAAATGTTTGATGAACTTTTTGGAGACCCTCATTTTATCTTCTTTTCAGCTAAGCATGTAACAAAGGCTCTTGAAACTTTTTAGTTAAGATGAAATGATTTGACTAAGTAGATCTGTAACTAAATAACTGGTCACAAATTCAGCTACTGAATAGTTTTTTAAGAGAAGTTTTATGAATGAGATCAGCTTGAAAATAAAAATTACATCATTTTGTTTCTTAATTTGGGTTCTCTTGTCTATAGATGACAGATACCATGTTTAGAAAGCTTGTTGAGTGAAAGAATGGGTCCAACTATTATTATTTTTTTTTTTTGCCAGAGTATTTATATTTACCAGAGAGACATGTAGAGAGCACTCTACACAGGGAGTGGTCATTTTGCAATCCCTTCTTCATCTCCCTCCTGCTGGGATTTTGGGCGTACGTGCAATATGCACCCTAGGTGTCTATCACACCACTAGGTCCCAGACTTGAACCATGCACTTGGCCTTGTGGGATCCAGCTCCCTTAACCACCCGGTCACAGTGCTGCTCCCAAAACAATGTTTCTAAATTCAAAATCAGAGGCTTTTAGGTTCAAAAGAAATAGACTTTGAAAAAAATTACCTTTGTGAAAGTGGTCGATATTTACATTGTTTAAAACTCTCGCAGCATATTGAAGTATGCTGTGAGAACTCCTTCCTGTTTCCTACTGTCATTTGTTTCTCTTCCCTGGAGAAATTAATGTTACTGCTTTTCAGTTCAAGAAATGCTTTATGGGGACCAGCAGTTAGCATAATGGCTATGTCGCTGGACTCCCACATAGTCGACTGCGGTTCGAGTCCCAGACCCGGTGGCTTAAACTGATGCCGGGCGCATGTGCGAGCATGCCCAAGATCACGAAAGGAGAATGGAGGAGAAGGGATTGCGGCGTGGCCATCCCCCCAGGGGGTGATTTCTCACTTTCTGTCTGTCTGGTGAGCGCACGTGCCCTATAGCTAAAACCTCTCAAAAAAAAAAAAAAACTTTTTTTTTTTTCAAATGAAAATACATAACACATATTGGACATGCACACTCACCAGGGAGACTTGGGAGGAGGGGCAGTGAAAAA